CCGTCCTCTCTCTCTCTCTCTCTCTCTCTCTCTCTCTCTCTCTCTCTCCTCCTCTCTCTCTCTCTCTCTCTCTCTCTCTCCCCTCCTCCCCTCCCTCTCTCTCTCTCTCTCTGTCTCGAGAAGAGAAGATCCGTTCGCGAATAGTGAGCACAGTTATACCTCACCGCCAAATGTGTCAGAATTGCAAATGCGGTCCGACGAAACACGTCGAGAGGCGACACGGCGGCTCGATAGAAACGGGGCGCGAATTCCGCGATGCGACCTCTAAGATATATTTGAAGACGGCCGATGGAGAGACAGACGAAGAAACGATGTTAAACCGCAGGGACAATAGTGTGAATCGCAAGCAAACTGTCGAAAGAATTTCAGACCCACTTCAACATGGAAATTTGAGAGAACTCCCTATAATTTTATTCGCATACCGGATGTCGGCTCTTTGAACCCAAAGTTTCTTATATTCCTATTGCGCGAAAAAGTTATGTTTCAATCTATCATGAGCAATATTATATATTTATCATTTTTTTCACGCAAATACCTAGAATTACATAATATCTATTATATAGATTATATCTTTAATGATATAATTATTTTTTATCAAAATTTTCAAATAATTCATTTTGAAGGTTTCTCTCTTTCTGTGTATGTGTGTAATATTTTAGATGAAAAAGAATAATTTTATCATAAGAGGATAATTAATCAATAAAAGAAGTTTAAAATCTCTCTAAATTATAACGCACATATATATGATTAAAATACGAAGCTTGTGTTAACGAATCTTTTAACGATTGAGTCGAGCTTGTCCAGAAACGACAGAGCAGTTGAACAGGATGTTAGAGTTAACAAGTATAAGACTTCATCCCTTTCGCTCGTAAACGCCAACGCCTCGTAATTATAACGAGATGTTTCCTTCGAATATAACGAGCATAGCTGATGAAATCAGAAAATAATGGTTCAAGGTACTAGCATTTGAATTGGTTCTTGTTAAGTTGATATTGACGTACCACAAATCAATCAAATGATTTTGATATGTTTTTATATGCTTACTTATATAACGCGGACATGAATAATATTTATTATAAAATCGCACAATCATATCATATAGAATATTACGATAAGAGAATAATCAGTTGAAAGAATAAATATTGTTGTATCTCGCGAATAAAAACGTAAATTATTTTTTCTCTCACTAACCTGAGATTTTAAACAGTCACTCACACTCCAAAATTATCTTTTTGATTATTGAGATGTTTCTTCTTACAGTCTATCTTGAAAAAGTAACACACAATACACTGATTTTGACCTCAAATCCAAACAATGCGAATACACCGATGATGCGGTATGACACAAAAAATTTATACCATCACGATAGCGTTAAAAATCGGAAGAATTAACCGTGTGTGACAGTTTGTTGATTTTCGATTGTCTTGAAATATTATTATTTAACATATAGGATGTTCATAAAGAATATGAGATCATATTTAGTAATAGTCTTCAGTAATTAAAGTTTAATAATTAGAAGTTCTTTTGCCATAAGAAAGAAATGAAAGCAATATATACATATCATAATTTAAAAATTATTTACAAATATTTTATAAGAAAAGGGATAACATGATAAGATATGGTTTTAAAATTGAATAATAATTATAATTAATAATTATTAAGGGAGAAATTAAAAAGAAAGAAACAAGCGAAGCAAGCAAAAGGAAAACACGAAGCGAAGTTTTTTCCAATATCGTTCGTCATTACGTGGGTATAATCCACCGTCCCTTTTCTCGGTATCAAATCGCAATATAGCGGATGTGCTCACTTGAAAAATTGACTCCACCTGGATGGACCCGCACACGCCGGATGAGATTGCCTTCGTAATTTCTTCATGGCTGGACTCGGCGAGCCGTGCTTCTTTAAAAACTCCGCGCGATTGAACGCGCGCCTCGCCGATCCGCCGAAGGTGCGTCGCCGGCCAGATAATGGCTTATTAACAAAGCGTTGCCGTGGAACGCGGGGGAAGTGACAGAGGGGACCTTGACGAGAATCGTACGGTGGAATCGAGAGGAGAGACGGAGAGAATGCGAGAATCCTGACGCCGGGAGTCGAGTCACGGGTTACTTCGACGCCTTCGTAGAAAGGACCCCAACACAACGGGGCTTTAATTACGCCGATATCACGGTAATTAAGCCGATCAATGCATGCCATTGTACGCCAAGCGGCGGGACCCAGCGTCTCTCCCGGGTCCTATCCACAATCCCGACCACGAGCCTCCTCCGCAACGCCACAAAAGCACCCCACCCTCTGTAAGAATACAAGGACGCCATCGTGCCTGTAGTCGAATCTTCACCGCGACCACCTTGCCGCCGTGGAAAAGTCACGACAAAGAACGGGGAGGAGAATAAACACAGTGACTCTCCCGATCCCGCCGATGATACGCAAACCGTCAAGCCTTCTACCGAAGACGCGAACCTTCAAACGCGAAGAACCACCGCGGGCGCACGAGAATGGATCCCTCACGGGGAGATTATTTCGTTCGATCGTTCGACCAGATCCGAAGCTGATGGAATTCAATGGAGAGGAACGCTTCGCGCGCCATTGTTTCTATGCCCCTCAATCTTTTAAATCTTTTAAAATGCGATGGCCAAACACGAATATCATTCGGCACTTTCGACGCATCCTACCTAACAGCAGCTGTTACATTTATAGATGAGATTCGATATTGTATCTTGTATATTGAATATAACATTCAATAAATTCATTTAATGATATTACGTGTAGCTTGCTTCGTAAACAAATGTATCTGTTGTCGATTGAAATATTAGCTTCAATTTTAATATTACATGTGAGAAGTTTTGTACGATTTATTAAGAAAATTGGTTATCTGCAGTAATTTGTAAAAGCATATTATTAGACGCCGTGATATTTTCGTTTTACCATTCCGAACTACATTTATCTCTAATATTAAAATCATCAATGTATCATTTCGCTTGAATATCTGATTGCGCATCTGAGATTGATATGCAGTTCACATGAAACACGTCGGAATGCCTCATGGCAACGGATGAATAAAGTCATTAGTTACATGTTGCATGCAATCTATGTTCGAAGAAACCTATATTTTCACACAACCAAAACCACTGCAATTATCGTAATCAATAGGAAAAAAAACAATACACACTCTCTCTCATATCTCTGTAATATTTTTATGTTTTAACAATTAATTAGCTACTACACAACCGAAACTATAAACGCTGAAAGAATCCGTTTACGACTAATAATCCGTTTATCCGACTCGCGAATTCATCACTAAATCCCCTTACACCTCGAAATTTCACCTTTCAGAATCGTCTATCAAAGTAATGACTATTTGACGAGGTGCACGAACCTGAAGGTTATACATATCTCTTCAAACTATTCACTCGGAATATCCAATGTTTCTTGATTTTCTTGCTTAATTCATGCTAATCATGCGTGATCTTGGGTGCTTGTTTGTTTACTACATGAAATATTTACACATTCATTGCACATTTTTAAATCAAATATAAAATATACATAAATAAATTAAACGGTATAAATTATTGTACAAAAGTGAACATTATTGGAATAAATTCTTATCAAGTATTAATAACATATGTATTAATTTATTTATTGAAATAAAAAATTTTATTTCCTATATGACGAATATTTCTAAACACTTAAGTTTAAGAGATTTAGATGATTCACTTCGTTAATCAATGTATAGATTCAGTTACTGTTCATCGAATCTCTTGTTCATTAAATTTGTGTATAATATGCAGGAAGCAATCTAACAGAGCAAAAAAGAAAGAAGATGCGTTTGTTTGCTACCGCCCATACAGTTTTCAATGTTTGTCTTAAGAGTTAAGACACTGAACGTATCTTTGCGAAGTCCCGCTGTATCCGGTGTTCGTCGTTGTTTTAAGCAAGAAAAATGCTCAGAGATGCACCGACTTTGTTCCTCACTCTTTTGATTTTAACGTCTGTTTGCTCCATCATTTCCTGAAACATGTACCAATGGTGACAGGCTGGATGCATTCGATTTTTTTCTACAACCTCACGCTGGAGGAATACGATGTGAGTTCCATTAGTTGTGTTTACTCAGGACTGTCAGAGCATTGGAAGCAAACAGACTAGCAAAATGTAAACTACAGTATATCTAACAGCAGATTACGCTCAGCGATTCAAATTTTTATGAACTTAATTAGATATAAATATAAAACATTAACTTAATAAAATTGAAAAATTAAAATTATAATATGTAAAAATAATTTCTCAATCTAGTGACTAAAAGTATTGTTTAATAAATGTAACAAATGTTATCCACAGTATATATGAAAATATATGTAAAAATGTAATATTATGAAAATATTGTATGTTTAATAAGATTTTTGCGATTAAAGATAATTCTTGATAAAAATTCTTAAGAAATTTTTATTTTTTCTTCAAAGATTTTTCGATTTCATTTTTATTTCACGCTCTTTAAATGTACTATATAAATTTACATTGACCAAGTGTTTCATTTTTAGGTCACGGTGACCGGTTCAACTACAACGAGTACAAATACAGTCCATCCTAGTGTGAACGATATGGATTGGTTCGCCGGTGTTGCCGAGGAAGAATTATTGTATTACACCGGCGTCGGTAACGACGTCGACTCTCTGTGGGCTGTTATTGGGAGTTTTGTACCGCCGCCACCTAGACCACCTTATCTACCCGAAGAGAGCATCGCCACCGATGGACTCACCACCTGCGATTTATGTTCCTGGGCATGGAGAAACGATAGGCATTCTTTTTCTCTGGACGGCACCCTTGGTAAGTCTTATATTGCTCGTAGAGCAATGTTATCGCTTTTGTACGTTCAGAGAAAATACACCAGTTTTCTTTTTAATTTAACCATATAGCATGCAAGCATAATTAAAAACAAAGAATCTAATGTTTCATTATAAAAAATTGTGATATAAATATACAAAAAGATATAAAATAAAATATCTTCGGAAATAACTGTAGTGCATTATTATCTAATCGAGATTTAAAAATCTATAAAAACTATAAAGAAGCTAAACTCTTTCATAGACAAAATAAAATTTAAACACAAACTAATATTTAAATAAGTTCTCAATGTTAGAAGAAAAAATAAATATGTTTAATTTTGCTGTCGGCATGTTTCGTTAGCTCTCGAGCATCCTGATTTTATTAAAACGTCTTAATTGATCCATATCAAGTCTCTCGAAACGCAATTCAAGGAATTTCGGGCACGAGTAAAAGTGCTATCGAAATATGTTTGCTTCATCAAGTAATGTGACTTTCGTCATTTGCTACGCTCTGTCAGTTTTTCTTGTCATCACTTCAGCTAGTAGTATCTCGAAAGATGACGAGTGGTCTTTCGAGCCATGCATCTGTCCACATCAGGACCGAGGGTTATTCCTCGTATATACACTCGACCATGTTTGCAACGTGTTTATTCGTCAAACAGCTTTTCCAGTCTAGTACGTGCTTCAGGATTTGGGCAGATCCCTCTCGAATAAACGTCAACGAAGGTTCATTGTAACGATGCTGTGAAATTCCTACTCCGTTGTAGAAATCTTTACGAACACATTAAACGCATCTAGATCTCCTCTTTTAATTATTTTCGTTATGCTAATGTATACAATAAACTATTATTTTATATATTCTAATATAATTTCATCAATAAAAGAATAAAAAATTGAATAATAAAAGTTTTCTTCATTAAAATGTTGATTAGCTTGTTGTTGATAGCTTGTGATAAAATGGATAAAAATATCTATACCTGCTATCACTTGGCATGTAATTATTTCAAAGATCTTTATTTCACACTCTGCATGTCGCGCACAGGAAATGCTACGCGAGGGTTTTCATTATTCCGAATTGCTCCAAATCAACGGTTGGACACGGGACGTCGATGCGATTACGAGAGAGATCGTTATTAAGAACGTACGAGGTGATCGTCTTAAGCACGTTCATTAAACGTAATGACAAGTAATGCAAACGTGTTGTGCTCGATGGCTTTTTTGCCATCTCTGTCATTTGTGATTTTTGCCACGTCTTGTGAGAGCACAAAATGTATTTATACAAAGTTTTATATATGGTAATATTACTTTCTCACTCGTAATTTAATGTTTTTGAATGGAAATTGATAATGATGTTACATAAAAACAAAGATAAATTGAAGAATAGTATAATAATTGAAGCCGCATACAATTAAGCTCGCCACGCAATAATCATTAAAAGTTTTATGTTTTCTCGTCTCTCTCGTTTCTTCTTATTCATCTCTCATCATTTATCTATATTGATCTATGATGAATCAATTAGGCAAATAATACGAGGATTGACTAAACAAATTCTCGCACTTTGTAAACATGCTTTGCTACAATTTTCTTCCTATTTCTTGACAGAGACATAAAAGGTGCACACGTTCTACTTCTATACAATTAGACTATAAATTAAATATTTTTTATTAAATATTCTATTTCGCAATAAAGCAAATTATTGTCAAATATATTAATTCTGCAAGGAACAATTACATACTCTTTTATTAAATTTGATTTCGCGAAATAGAACAAATTAGTCATCGTCAGACATATTAATTCGACAGCCCTCCCCGTGTTTCCTAACGTAACATGTAAACTGCAAGGGATAATTCTCGAGTGCTTTCCCCCAACGTAGGCCGACCTCCACATCCGGTTGATGTGCCCCGACCAATCAGAAACACGCCGTTCCCGCTCCCATGGTTCTCCCCTTCGGGATCGGTGTTCGCACGTACGCACGAAATATACGCAAGTTTCTGCATCATGACACGCGGTGCTTCCCCACTCCCCGTTGGGCCTCTTCACGAGCCTCGCCCCTATATCGTCTTCCGCCCCGCGGACCCTGTAGTCCGGGCACGCATTATCGCCATTACCATGAATTCCCGCAGTTATTACGCCTCTGTTGCACCGCCACCAAAATGGCGGCTGGGTGCATCCTATCGTGCGAGGAGGACGCACTCCTTGTCTGCTCCTCTTTTTATTGTGGCGCCTGTGCTGCCGGCATGTCGTGCTACGTTATACCGCTCGACAATTAACGTCGAGAATGGCGGCGATCGACTGGTGGGGATAATTGACCCTGTCAGAACTATGACAGCACTTTTACACCGCTGCGTGATTCGCCGAGTCGATCTCTCCTCGTATTTTACGTTTTGTATCGGATAGAGCTAGTTGTAGCGTATTTCCGGTCGCGGTGAAAGCGAAAGTTTTATATTTCGAATGTAATCTCCCTTTCTTGATTATTCAAGCTTTTGTTTCCGACGGTGATAAAATTATCTCTTGCAGATTCAATCAGAATACCACAGATGTTCTCCATGCGTAAAAAAGACAAGACACAACCGTTTATAAATTCCGAATGAAAATGAATAGTCATCACGTCATCGTCCAAGTAATTAAATCTTAATTACTATCGCCGATTTGAACTTATTTTACATTTGAGAAAACATTCCTTCATTTTATTTTCCTTATAAATAAACGCGTCACATATTACACGATTTACAACAAACACGGCTCTGTGCGCTTCGATGTGCAACGCATCGCCCTTGTCGCCAAATCGCGAAGTATGGCGCACGAGTGGAACTCGGCGATAAATAAAGAAAATAGAACCGGAGCGAGAGAACGGTGCATCAGGGGTTTCAAGGAGGCTGGCAACGGCGGTAATCATCGCGTCACTTCCCATCCTTCACGACGTAATAATTACGAGATCGCGCCTCTTACTCTCGACGTGATGCAGGCCCGTGCTTGTCGACGAGGAGAGACAACGAGGAAGGCGGGGAGACCAAAGAAAAACAGAGGAGAGAGAGCGAACTTAATGCAAGCTTGCGAGTATCTTTCGGTCTTTTGCCTCGTGTCGACGTAGACCGCACGATTCGGCGTGACTTCAACAGCGAGCAATAACTCGTACATTTCGCACTCGGAGATTTGCGCGAGGGTTCGTTAATGTTCGACGAGGGTGGCATTTATTACGAACGACGAGTAAAAATGTTTTACACGGAGAGCCAATAAGAAGATTCCCAAACGCAAGAACAAAGGGCGATTAATTATGTTCTTAAGAGTGTGCCCTTAAAGAATATTTCAGGAAAGCGTGTCAAATTAACAGCGGAAAGTAGTTCGAGTATTTATTAAATTTTCAAGTACACAAGAATGAAGTTAAAATTCAAGGTTTATGAAAAGATAAAAGTATACGGACTTAAATATTCTCAAATATCTTTACGTATTTCAACGAAGAAATGTACTATTTTTGTCATTAAATTCATAACATAATTTAAATATTATATATAGATATCTTAAATTTTATTAATTTTTAATAAATTTATAATAAAATCAATAGGTCAATTAAGGAATAAATAGATTTGCTCGAGTTTTTAATCATATTTATGCACTCATAAATATAATTTTAATTTGCATGCAATATAATGCATTTGCAATATAATTTAATTTGTATCTATGTAAATAATCATACAGAATAAATAAACTTCTATTATGAGAATTGGCGAATACTTTTATCTGACTTTAACATCTGCCTTTCATTGCGCTAGAAATCTCGTGCTCCACGACGGTTAATTTCAACGCTTTGCGTCGGAATATGAATCGATTTAATAATGCGCGACGCATAACGGCGCGCATATAAATCGCCGGACATTAATTGCACCGTGACATTAAGCAAAGTGAAGTACGCTGTACAAAGGGACCAAGCCTTATTCTCAAGGAAATAAGAAATAAAGCGCACAAAATTGCGACACGCAAATCTCTCGACTTTATCGAGTTCAAATGCTTGCGGTCTATACGTTAAAGCGTTAATAATTACATTAATTGCAACAAGGAATAGTCGTGCTATTTAATAAATAGATAGAAATAAATAGATTATTTCATTGCTCTGTGCTCCGACGCGAGGAGTCAGAATTAAACTTATGCGATATAATGCGAAGTAAAATCTTCCTATAAATAATACGCACATCTAACTCACGCTATATTCACCTGCAAACGCGTTTTCTACTATTTCCACGGTACGCTAACCAGCAGGTAGCCATATCGCGAATATCCGTAGTGAATCGATGTTATCTCGTTGCGTATACGTCTGGACCAAGAGAACGTAACGAGGCCTCTCTTAGTCCAACGGTAACCACCTCCTCCGTCTCCTTCGTCTCCTCCTCTTCCTCTTCTTCTTTTTCGTCTTCGGTGTTCACGTCGTCGTTCCCCGTCGCTTCTCTCGACGCTTCCTTTTTCGACGAGTCGGGCATGGTGTCGGGCATTTCGTTGCGACGAAAGTAAGTACCTTCGCGCCTGTATATCGCGCGCGATGCCGACGAATGCAAACGAGAACGAGTAGCGAGGGAGTCCCGTGCGCGCGAGCGAAAATTTCATGGGTAACGCTCGAGAGAGTCCCACCTTCCCGCCTCTTTATGTGCCTCCGAGCCGCGCACTTTTAATCTAAAAGCCGATCTCGCCCACGTAGATTTATTGGCAGGGCCGACGAAGCGACGTATTCGAATGGTGCGTGGGCTACCACTCGAACTGCACGATTTCCTTCGATTGCGAATGCGTGATCGCATGCGTACGAATTTAACATTTGTTGCTTCGCGAACAATACAATATTTTTTGATATAAAAAAAAAACCCGAAATGTAGCCCGATAGAAACATCATATCATCGTGAACAGACTGATCGATATAAAGATTTGTGTTTTAGGCATCATCATTTTTAAAATATTATTATTCGTAACAGAACGTGAATGAGCAGTATTTTCAGAGTTTATGTGCGTAATTAATAT